AAAAAAAAAACAAACACCGCAGCCAAATACGAGTACATGATGAACTAAGAAACATTCAACCACCCCAAAGCAAAGGAACATCCCCCACACGTGACATTGTCCTTAATAGGGAAGCTGCTTTTCGCACACTTTATTTTTTTCACGATTGTTGGTGCTTGTGGACCTTTTTAATTTTCTAATTATTTTTCTTTTCTCCCATTTTCTCCAAATTCACGTTCTTCTTTCTACAACACCTCCTTCTTCTAAAATCCCTCATCTTGAGTTGTATGCTACCATCATGCCATTGTCCGGCGGTCTTTTCCCCCACTGGCGTCGCAAAGCGGCGGAACGCTCCAGCAACAACTCGTATGAGGTTCCATACTACATGAACGCAGCGTATTATCCCAATTGGCGGATATACCGAAAACAACCTCCTTCATCGCTCAGACTGGGATTTGTCTCTCATATCTTCTACGCATTTGCTTGGTAGTACAGCCATATATCACGCCGAGGGAACCCCAATCCCTTGGCTCGGGTACATACATATACAAAGTACAAATGTTAACCAAGACGTTTTGTTTGTTTTAGGGTCAAAGAAGACGGCACCGTATATGTGGATCTCCCACCCGAATTTTCTTTTTTTCTTTACTTGTTTTCTTTACAAGGATAAAAATTTCTTCTTCGTTAGAAAGATCCCACGCTAACCGCAGATCTAAATATGTAGCTAAGCGATGAATGGGCCGATGCGCAAATGCCTGTGGACGGCACGCAGGGCTGTATCCGGGCCTTCACGCAGCTGAAACCGCAATACCCCAAGATGAAAGTCATTCTCTCCGTCGGCGGGGGCGGCAAGGGAAGCGAGAACTTTGCCCTCGTGGCGCGGAGTCAATCGCGCACCGAGACATTTGTCCGCACGGCCAGGGCGCTGGTAGACCAATTCGGCCTTGACGGCCTCGACAGTATGGATTGACACCTTCCTCAACTTACCATGGACACATTACTAATGCCCCCCAGTTGACTGGGAACACCCCGCCGACCCACAAGAAGGCATGGACTACGTCCGACTACTAGCAAAGCTGCGGGAAGCACTGCCTTTGCCGCGATTCGTATTAGCAACCTGTCTTCCGGCGGGCCAATGGGCTCTCCGGAATATCGATCTCTCCAAGGCATCTATGTACCTCGACCTGATCAATCTTATGACGTATGATTTTGCTGGACCTTGGACGAACGAGAGCGGACACCATGCGCAATTGTATAGTCCTTCTCGGAATCCGGGCGCTGTCTCTTGCCAATCCAGTGTGCAATATGTGCTTTCGCAGGGTGTCGATCCGAAGAAAATCTTGCTAGGAGTCCCTGCCTACGGCCGGTCATTTTTGGGTAGCGAGAAGCCCGGTCAACGGTATGCTGGTACGGGTGGCGAGGACGGCGTGTTCGACTACAGTGATTTGCCCCGTCCTGGCGCTAAGGAGCATCACGATGATAAGCTGGGCGCAGCGTACTGCTCCGGTGGTGATGGCGGGTTCGTAACCTATGATACGCCGCGGACGGTGCAGCAGAAGGCTAGGTTTGCGACCAAAACGAAGCTGGGAGGACTGTTCTATTGGCATATCGGAGGAGATGCACGCGGTCCGCGGAGTCTGATCGAGACCGGGTATAACACGCTACATGAGATGTAGCGTGTGTAGTCGAAAGATCCCACTCGAAGCGCGGAGAGATAAGAAAAGAACAGCCAAAAAAAAAAAAGAGAAATCAACAACAAAACCAGGACAGAATTCTAAGGAACAAAAACAGGTGATGGGCGTGTCATGTGTTTATAATTACTGTGTCAGAATACCAGATATGAAAGAAATGACTCAAATGAATTTGTATTCCTACAAATGAGTAGGCTCTGAATCCCTGTCGCCGATCAGGTCGTCTGGCGCATAAGCTTTCATATACCTAGCAACTAGTATCTAGATCGACCTTAGTTTCCTCCAGATACAATAGTAGTACCGTACGATATCTTTGATTCTCAACCGAATACCAAACGAAAAAGCTCTGATATTCAACATCCCTACCCAAAGTGAAAAAGCCAACCAGAAACGACACTTGTAATCCTGAAATTCACAAAACCCATAAAATCCATATAAAATCTTACCATCTCTAATCAACAATTCATAATCTATCACATTCATAAATCCATGATCTATAATCTATAATCTATATACAAAACCTCTACAACAAAATCTATTCATAAACCCCCCCCCTCCCCAATTCCCTCTTCAATCTATAATACACAAGTCACAGAGACCAAACAAGATCAAGCAACCCCAATCCGCTCAAAAACCGCCCTCATCTCCTCCATGCTCTTCCCCTCCGCAAGCAACAACCCAAGCAGGATGCGTGTCTTCGCGGGGTTCAAATACCCGCTTGCGATCTGGCTCGACTCGGCAGAAGACGGCACCTCCCCGTTTCCGGTGCGCGTGCTGGCCACGATAGGGATGTCGTGTTTGGATGTGATGTCTTCGATGGCGGCGCTGAAGGGGGTGGAGACGGAGCCGGAGCCGGAGCCGGCGATCTGGTTGTTTGTTAGTATCTGGTTTGTTTTGGTGGGAAGGGGGGGGGGGGGGGGGGGGGGGGGGTTTGTGGGGGGGGGGGGGGGGGGGGGGGGGGGGGTGGGTTTAATATTGAGGGATGGAGGAGACTTACGACGATGCCCTTTGCGCCGTTTTGGATGGCGGAGTATAAGATGTCGTTGTGCATGTCTTCGTACGAGTAGAGGATGTCGACTCGGGGAATGGCGGTGATGTTCTGGATGTCTATTTCGGTCTTGCCGGTTGGCTGGACCGGGGGGTAGAAGAAGTAGGGTTTGTTGGAGACGACTTCGCCGAGGTTGCCCATTTCGATGGCCTTGAAGGTATCGATGGTGTTGGCGTTGGTCTTGGAGGCGTAGAAGGCCGAGACGATGCGGTCGTTCATGACGGTCAGGGCGCCGCGGTCTCGGGCCTTGGGGCTCGTGGCGACGGTGACTGATTGGAGCAGATTGAGGGGGCCGTCGGCGGAGATGGCGGTTGAAGGGCGCATGGCGCCGACGATGACCACGGGCTTGCGGCAGTTGACCGTGGCATCGAGGAAGAAGGCGGATTCTTCGAGCGTGTCGGTGCCGTGGGTGACGACTGCACCGGCCATGGTGGGGTCATTGCAGACGACCTCGTTGATCTGTTTGGAGAGGTGCAGCAGAATGCTGGAGGTGATGTCTGGGCTGCCGACGTTGGCTACTTGCACGCCGGCGACGTTGGCGACGTTCAGCATCTCCGGGACCGCGTCGATCAGCGTCTGGATGCCGATTGCGCCGGCTTTGTAGCCTGTTGTTGCGGTGTTGTCGGCGCTGGAGCCGGCGATTGTGCCACCTGTTTTTCTGGTTAGTTCTTGGTTCGGTGAGGGGGGACTTGTGGATTAGTGTAGGGGAGTGTGTACCTGTCGCGAAGATGGTGACATTTGGCAGGGTGGTATTCATCTGGGTGAAATTTAGGCCGTTGGGGTTGGTGAACACATAGGTGACGTTAGAGTCCGTGGCCCGAGGATACAGGAGAGGCGAAGCATGGCTGATAGTAGCCAGGGCCGACACGGCAAGAGCTTTGAAAGTGACACCCATCCTGCTGCTTGGTTGCTCGGGTTTCTGAGTCGGGGAATGGAAGTTGAGCTTGCTCTGGAGAATCGAACCGACATCGTGGAAGATATGTCAGTTATATAGTGTCGTGCCTCCAAGTTCAGTCCTCTCGCACGGGTTGGCAGATTAATTCTCCGTCGACCAAGAAAGAATTATTGGCAATAATTGTCTTATCGTGGAGAAACCCACACATTGGATGGATGGTTTTCTAGGCTAGATAAGTGGCACAGTAGGAAGATCACAGCGAAGTCGTTTCCCATAGATGAGGCATTTCACGTAATGAGAATCGCATATCAATGGAGTCAATCTAGGCCAAGGTCTTGGAGAAACTCCATTTCATCTTGGCGTCTGGCCTTGAAGTATATGAGGACCGTGCTGCGAGACATAGTCCGACCGCATACTTGATTGAAGGGGAACAAATGATGGGATATGCGCATATCCATCATGGACATGGCTCTTGTTGGGCGAATCCCGGAAAACATTTAGGTAATTGGATCCAGTGATCTTCGCCAGGTAATATCGCCGTCTGATAAGATCCGATATCATCGTTCGGGGCAGGTCGGCATCTTGACCTCGCGCTGTTCACGGCATTTGTCTTGGGCCAGTTGAAGATTCAAGTTCACAATGGGGCACACGTTCAATTGGTCACGGTCTGCGATAAGGTCATTTCGTCGTCGGCTATTAGTCGTCGCAAGTTGTAAGAGAACCATTGATTGTTCGGTGGGAGATGGGTTTATCGAGTGGATCGCCAAGTACTTGTCCTTATCTCGGCGGGGAGCCGATAGGAACTTCGAAGCATTCCGACGATTCCCCTGAAGCTCAATATCAACGGATTATTGCGGCTGTGTAGCGGTAACCGACGTCATTCTAGCGCTGCAGGATTCGAATGTGTAGCAATAGTACTGCTAACTATGGCAATCTTCATATACCTTCGATGGTTTCTCGCTGGGCGATTCGGGTGTGTAGAATGATCCCAATCCCAACGCCGAAGAATCCTCAGTACCAGGAGTGCAACGTAGAGCAGTCGACTTGACCACTCTCGGAGTCATGAACAGCGCAAACTCACCCTTCGATATATTCCAAAGCGACAAAAGCCAAGAAGCACGTTCTTCCAGTGGATCCTATTCTCTGCTGTACCAAGGCAGCAGCCAAGCCCAACCGTTGCCCCGACTATTTCCACGTTTGACCATGCCCTCGGATCAAGTTACACGTGGAGGAGATGACACCGGTGACCCTATCTACAACTTCTAAGAAGTAGATCCTGTCCATCAGACAGGCCGAATCCCCGGGAATCGGGGACGACGGTAGGGTTTTCTCACTATTTAACCTCAATGGTCGACAGTCGGTCTAGACTTTTGTGCTGGTTTAAGTAACAGGGTGATCGGCGGTACTTCGAGCTCGGTGCGGGAACCTTGATCGGCGAACCATTGGATTGAGTCCTTGCACAACCGTTGTACCATGACTTGTCTTGACTTTGTGTACGTGTCGGCTTCGCCGGGGTGGGGTGAAGTCTCAAAAGTTACTCGACATTGGGAAGGAAAGAAATTGACTACACAGTCAGAGGTTGTGTCTGGTGAAACTCCTCTCAAATCGGATTATATGTAGCGAGGACTATTATAACAAGGAACAGCCACGGAGCGAGGACCCTCAGCGTTTGAGTGCGATACAAGCGGGGTTACTCAAAGGCCGTTCTGATGAGATATGAAGAAAACGCAGATTATCAATCAGTCCGAACCGCCCTCCCATCGTCAAGCAGTCGGATCATCGCGGGTACATTAGAATGGTATCAAAAACGATTAAAGATGTCATCGGCACAACAGCGGGGCTCCAAGACAGTAGAAAGACATAAGGAACAGTAAAAGTGTAGTCGCAATGGCCAAAACGGAGTTAAGACTAGCAAGATATACACGGCGATGCCCTTTTTAAAGCTTACTCAAACTCGAGCCCACCACCTCGGTGATGTTCAGGTTAACTTGTAATTTGTTCGATGCCAAAGCCCTCGAGAAGTACGAGAGAGCCTTGCCATCGTACACACTCGAGTTGGTCGCAGAGCCGGTGATATCCACGGGGACAACCGTACCCGGGTATTTCGTCATCAAAGTGACCATGCTCAGTTGGTCTACTTTGGCTCTCATGGGAAATTTGTTATCACCAGGTTTCAACACTAGATCTTGGATGTACGATGTGCCAATGCCGGTTCCATTGACGGAGAGATCGAGGGTCACATTACCCTGTAGCCATCAGTACGCGTGTTCGTCGTACAAAGAATTCGGAGGAGATTCAAACGTAGTACATACCAAGCTGATCGTCATCACCGACGGGTTGGGGATTAGAACCTGTCCTTCGGTGTTCGTTCCGTCGGGTGCCTCCTTGGCAAGCTTCATGCCGGACAGTGAGAATCCCTTTAGCTTGTTAAGGCCTTTCATGCCGGTTAGTGAGTGTGACTAAAGCAATGCGAACGTTCATCTGGGCGTACCCTTCATAGTAGCGGTGTGGTTATACGTCACGGTGATCTTTGGCAAAGCCCCCTGCTTCAAGTCCGGCCTCCCGTAAACATTGAGGTCAACATATTCATTCTGCATCACCGCCGTGGCAAAGTCGCCGAATGCAGACGCGTCAGTCAAGTCGAGGCGCTGGTCTACACGCACCTCGACCCCGTCCCTCGACTTGAGTTGCGGAATGGTCGCGATGCCGAATGGGGCTGCGCCCAGGAGACCGACACTTGCGTTAAAGCTATAGATGGTTGGATGAAACACGCTGTCCGTCCAGATGACCTGTTGCTGGTCCACATGGAACGACTCCGGCGTCGGCTCACTGATCACCATCGACTTGACTTCCAATTTTGAGTCGTTAATGTTGTCTTGTGCGATGTTCGGATAGCCGACATATACCCTATTAGAGCGACGCTGTCAGACGGGCTTCGCCGGAGAAAACCATGTTTACCAGGATTGAACCTACACCGGAAGGGCCACGACGAGCACAACTACAATGAATGCGATGAGGTGCGCCCACCACCATTTCTTGAAGTGGGCCGCCACGCGAGATTTGAAGCTAGGCTTTGTGGCAGC